GCGGGAAGCCTGCTTCTCCCTCTCCCACTCCCCCTGCCTGTGTTCCGTCTCTCGCTGCGTCTCTCTCTGTCAAATAAATAAATAAAATCTTAAAAAAAAAATTAAAGAAATAAAATAAAATCGTCACAGAAGTCAACACACTGATGTGAAGCTCCCTCCAGCTTTTGAGTCAAAGTACCGAAGAGCTGGGGGACGTGTTTTTGTCACCATGACGCAAGGCACCACTTGACAGACTGTGGGAAGCTCCAGATTGCTGGCAAGAGCTGACAGAATCAGCTGGAAATCAGAACGCCCCCTTCTGTTGGCACACAGGTGCAGCCTCTGAAGCCGGGAATGGAGCCTCCTCAGTTCATGGAGCCACAGCGGGAAGGGCATGGTGGCGGTGGAGGTTGGGTCCGAGTGCTGTGCCCTAACTAATCCGCTGGCCGCCTTCCCTGGCTGAGCCAGGGCACCTCTCGGGCCGCGTGAGAAGCTGTGCTGTCCGGCCCGCACCCGCAGCCCAGGGCCTCCGTGCCCCCTTCTGCCCACCGTGCGGGACCTCCGTGGCTGTCATTCCCCTCCCTCAGCGCCGTGCGTCCTCCCCGACCCCGGCAGCCGCTGGTCTGCTGAGGTCGGGGCCCCACTGGTGCCCGTACTCACAACGTGGAAAATGAGGCCGGCGCGATCCTGACAGAGCACAGCAGTGAGTCCGCGGGCAGAGCCAAGGCGGACCCCATCCAGGCCGCCGTGCACTTGAGCTGCCCCCGGAGGGCCGCGGCATGGACCGTCCACTGGGAGCCACCCGCCACGAGCGCTGGCGTCCGTGGTCAGGGGAGGGGCGGCCGCAGCAGAAGGGTCCTCTGTGCCATTTCCAGCTGACGCGGAGCCCAGCGAGCTCAGTCCCTGGCTTTGGGGCTGCTCCAAGAGCCCTGCTCCCTCCCACCCAACCTTCTGCATCCACTGCCAAAACCTTGGACACTCGCTGTCCTGGGACACAGAGCTTTTAGTGCTAAAACCTGATGCTTGGTCACCCTAATGAGAAGCAGGGGTGATGGGGTGCTGGCTGCCCAGGAGACGGACAGGGATGGTGGAGCAAGGTTGAGGGAGTGCGGTTCCCATGCTGCTCAGTCACGTGATCCTCGGGTTGGGTCCCCCTGCATCCAGCAGGCATCCAGAAGACTGAACACGTGCAGTGTCCAGCATGGGGCAGCCCCTGATCGGTGTTCAGCCCAGTGGTGATTCAGGTGTCACATCAGGACCCAAACCCACAAAACCGAACAAAGCACCCCCAAAAGGCCAGAATAACTTTGGGGCCCTATGCCCACCCTCTGGCTCTGCAGTCCAGACTGTTCGTTTGGTCCCCCAGCAGCCTCCTTTCCAGACACGCTCCCCGAGGCAAGGCCAGCGTGAGTCACCTCCCCCGCCTGGTGCAGAAGAGCTGTCTGCAGGGGTGAGTCAGACCAGCCCTCTCCTCAGGGAGCTCCCAGCTGGGAGACGGAGACGGGCCACAGCTGCAGAGTCAAAGGGCCATCCGGCACAGGGCAGGGGACACAGAGGTGGCAGGTGAGCAGCAATCAAAGTGGAATTTGAGCTGTGACATCACTGAGGGTTGGGACCTGGAGAAGCCCGGGGGCGGGGGGGGGGAGAGGGTGGCTTCCCAGCCAGGCAGGGAGGAGACGCCAAGAAGCCCCAGGGTGCAGGAGTCACGGGGCTCCCAAAGGGGCTGGAGGCACAGGGCAGGCAGGTGTCCAGATGGGCTCCAGGAACCCACAGCTCCAGACCCGAGAGGGTGACAGACTGGCCCAGGGCGGCACAGCCCGTCAGCAGGGCAGGGTGGGGCCCGGGTCCACCCGCAGCCTAGTGCTTTCCCTCACCAACACACCACTCCGAGCAGCAGGGATCCCCACAGTAAGGCCGGGTGCCCCGCTCTGACCAGAGGGGAGAGGGCACCACGCTATCCCCCTTCTCTCCCAGCGACGAAATGGGAACTGAGTTCCCCAAGAGTTAATCACTTTTCTGACGGTTTATTTTATTCATCTTTGGTAACAAATGGCTGAAATCAATTAAACTTGCTTTCCCCTCAGCTGATGAAGTTAATTATGATTTGTTATGGTATCTGATACGTAAATTATTAGAAAGCGGACTTACGTTGGACCGGCTGCCTCCAGGCGGCACCGGATTAATCATTGTGTAGATGTTGTCACTGGAATTTGTTGAATCTGTAGAACAGTGGAAACCCACAAGTCGGGGTGATTAATTCATTTCTTAATTAAAACAAACTCATAGCACTTGAACTCATTCTTTTGTATTTTATCACCTAAAATCTCCTCTAAGTACCACCATTTTCTGGCTAATTTGTATTTAATGAAGATTCACCAAGTTTTTAATCACAGAAAATTCAACTGTGAAAACCACTCAACCCTGAAACGAAGAATTCCAGGACGTCTGGACAGCAGCGTGAACGTGGCAGAGGGGGGTGGGGTGGCAGGTCCGAATTCTCATCTCCCCACCCCAAACCCAATCTGGTCCCCAGACACTGCCAGGGACCGTGCGGGGACAGCCACCTGCGTTCCCCAACCCCCCAATCCCACCCAGCAGCTTTAATCAAATCGGGGAAAGGGAAACGCCACAAATTACCCAGGGGCCACCTTGCCAAGCTGATGGGGCAGGAGGGGAGGCAAGGATGGGGCTGGAGACACATTAACATATGGAGTGGTTTAATGTGACCCAGTCTGAATGTAGGTCATGCAGCTCATCAAAATGCAGCAGCAGAAAGAGGGAGCGGGAGTGGGGGCCAGAACATCACAGCCACCCGCTCCCCCACTACTCCTGGGGGTCGGGGAGTCTGGGGACAGAGGGACCCCTCCGTCTCCCCCAATTAACTAGAAAAGTCTCCTTAGAAAACCAGCTAACATGTTTATATCAGGAGCAGGCACCCTATTTCTCAGGGAGAAATCCAGCTACCTCTCACTTCTTATTCTCTGGGTAGGTAAAGACTGGTAGAATTCCTTCTAGATGGCAGTGTGTTATTCTCAGCTGGGAGAAAAACACAAACGTGATGCAGTGTGTGTATGCATGTGTGTGCATGCCCACATGTGTGCACACATGCCCTCTTCTGATCTAAGAAAGAGGGAGAAGCGATCGCCTATAGAGAGGACCAGAAGCCAAGAGTTCTAGGAACTCAAGAGGCATCATGTTATATGGTCCTGGTCCCAGGATGCCAGAATTCCAAAGCCCCTTTTTAGTGACCTAGAGAAATGCACAGCCAGGACAGGTGCGAGCCGAGGACAGTGAGACCCCTCGTTTCTGGATCTCCCCCACTCTGCCCCATCCTTTAACCAGAGAGGAGGAGTGACCTGGCTGAGGCCACAGGACAGGTTACTGGCACGAGGGGCCTCCTGCCTCCTAACTCCCTGACGCCAAGATACCTGGTGGAGGCAGTGCTGCTCAGGAGGACTAGTTGGTAAGCTTTGGCCCTCCACTTGGGCCCCTCTGGGGCCCCTTCATCCCTCAATGACACCCTTTCCCCAAGCCTTCTTACCTGCAGGACTAGGCATGATGGGTGTTCCTGGGGGGCCACCACCACCAGGAGGTCCCTGGAAATGAGATAAAAATGGCCATCAAAAACCCATGACAATGATACGGGTGGGAAGAAGCCACCGAGCTCCAGAGACATCAAAGGTGAGGACTCACGCAGGGCCCAGCCCGGTATTCGGCTCTTGCTAAAGCTCAAGCAGAGTCTGAGTGTTTAAGCCTTGGGGGAGCTGGACTTGGACTCCCTCCCCACCCCCGACGTCTGCCCCCATCCTTTCTTCAAACCCAGAGGCAGCCATGGCACTGGGTGGAACCAGAGGCCTGTGATGGAAACCAGCTGGGCCACTGGTCAGCCCCCAAGATGGGGACCTAACTCTAGGTCTTTTTGGGGGACTTCTGGGCCACCAGAAGGTACAGATACCTGTATAGTGACAGCAGGTTCTAGCACAGTTTGGAACGTGTGCTCAGAACGTGTTTTGAAGGGGAAAGAGACAGGGACCCTGGAAAAAGTTCTCTTGCACATTCAGTCACATGGGGCTGGACACGCAATGTCCCACACCCACACCCACTTACCACGTAGGTACCAGGTGATGAGGAGGAGTATGGAATCTAAAAACAAGAGGTGGGGGAGCCATGCGTCAGAGTCACTTCCTCTGATACTCAGAGTGCCCTTGGGCTCCCCAATCCACTTGGGGACACTCCCCCTCTTGCTGGGAAAGGTGGTGGGCTCCCTGGTTCGTGTCCCTGGGAGGGCCGGGGGTGTGAACAAAGCCCAGTTCCCACACTGAACTGACCCTGAGAGCCTTGGCAGGGAGCTTGGGAGGGGCGTGGACATGGGAGAGTCTCCAGCTCAAGAGGACAGGAAAGCGGGAGCTTCTCCCCAGCCCTCTGGCCTTCTGAGTGGAGCCCTTTCCCAGCTCTGTCCTCTGAGTGCGGGAAGCCAGCCCTGCCAGGGAAGAGAGGCTCGCCAGAGGTTTCTAGGTGCACAGTGCTCTCTGAGTGAGCCCTCAGCTCACCCGTCAGAGTTTCTGCAGGGCTGGGCCCGGAACCCTGAAGGCCCCAGCACGGTACTCCCACGCCTCCACTTACAGCAAGGCTCCTCCCTGCAGACATTGGGGGGGGCGGGGCGGGGGGGCAGGGGGGTAGTCTTGCTGCATCCCCGCCTCTGATGACACCTTCAACCTGGGGACAGGACTACCCTGTATCCTAGAAACCCCTCCCTCGCGCACACCATCCCATCCAACCTGGGTACTCACTGAGTTAGCACTGTTAGGATTTGGCCAGGGTCTGCCGGCTCCCGGGCCCCTGGGAGAGGGAGAGAGACAGAGGAAGACCATGAACAAGGTCTTATCAACCCCACGGGGGGTGCCAGCAGGGCCAAAACGAGACTGCTGACATCACTAACAGGAAGTCCCTCACACAGGCCTAGCGCCTCACACACCATCTGGCTCTCGGGGAGCAACGGGCAGCTCCGTGGGCGGAAATCTACAAGCTCCTATAAATCATACGGAAAATGTGTAACGTACCTAAGATTTCCTGTGTGTGTGCCTTTTCCCAGGAAGGGAACGCACAGGTTCTCACGGGGACCTACCCCCGCAAGGGGCTTAGGGACGAGAGGACTAGAGCTGTCGGTGGTCAGCTGTACAGGGGTTCAAATCTCAACCCTATCGTTAGAGCCGTGTGAGCACGGGCAAGTTACTTCACCTCTCTGGGCCTCGGTTCCCCCATCCAGAAGTGGGGGGTGCTGAGACCCACCTCCCGGGCTGTTCGGAAGAGCACCGAGCGGCACCGTCACAGTGCGGCTGCCATGCCCGCCCCACGCCACTGCTGGGAGGGCAGAGGGCCGGAGAGGTGCCCGGGACGCCTCTGTCCGCCAGGGTCTCGGGGGGCTGGCAGGGGGGGGCGAGCCGCGGGCTGTGAGCCAACAGCAAGGTCAGGTGTGCCTTACATGTTAATCCCGGGCATGGCGGGGCCGAGGGAGTTGGGTGGTGGTCTCATGCCGCTTCCATAATTCTGCAACGATAACCAAGGGTCAGTCTAATAGAAGGAGAAGGGGAACCGGAGAGGAGGAGGGAGGGAAGACAAACAGAATATAAGCAAGAGGATTAGTCTGTGGAAAGGATCTGATGAGGAAGAAAAATAACATATTCGTTAAAAAAGGTGAGGGGGTGGGAACCACGTGACGGGACCACAATGACAAGCCAGCACAGAGGGAGGCTTCGGGATGGTTCTCTCAAAAGCATGGGAATGTTCAGCAAGCCCTCACATCTCGGGTCTCGGGCGGGGAAAGGGAATGGACTTGTAACAGAGCCGACTGGTGAACACTACCCACCTCAGAAATTCCGGGGCTGGGGGCGGGGGCTGGGTCTGAATGTGGGAGGGGAAGGAACCCTGAGAGGCCTGGCCACTGGCTGTCCCCACGGTCCAGCATGTACAGACACTGCCCCCTGCTTGCCCCACACCTGGGTTGTCCCCCAACCCCTGGATCAGGTTGCCTGATTCAGGGGCCAGCCTGTGGGGCCCTCGACATACACGGTGCTGGAGAAGCAGGAAGAAAACTCTTGGGGTGTGTGGGGGCGGGTCACCAATTGTTTGAGGGAAGAGTCCCTCCTCAGCTCAGTACAACCCCTCCCCACAAGCAGAGTGCGGGGGGTCACAAGAGTGCCAGGATCGGGAACCTCTTGTCACTGCTATCCCTGACTCCCCACTTCCAACGCTATTTTCTTCACAAAGAAATACTTTGCTTCCCTTCTCCACTTGGGCTCCTACACATCTTCCAAACCCAGCTCGAAGAGCACCTCCCCTGTGAAGCCTTCCCTGCACACCTCTTGGGGTTAACTGTTGACCCCCATCATGCCTTGTAATCCCCTGACCCCTGCCACGCTGGGCTATGGCCGTGGCCACACATCTCTGCCACTGGGCTCTGAGGACCTGGTGAAGGTGGGGACTGTATCTGAAAGATCTGCATGCGTCACCCCACACAGCAGCCGTCACAGACTGGGTGCTCAATCAATGAAGGAGTGATCAAGTAAATGAACAGAGAGTAAAATGAGCCTGGTTGGTTGTAGCTTAAGCTCTGCCTTTGTAGAATCTGACTGAAGTAAGGGTGGGAATTTGACGGCAGAGGAAGCACATAACACATTTTGGGTACAGTCTCTGGCTCATCCTTAGAACAACACCATTTTAGAGAAGAGGAGACTGAGGGTCTGAGGGGAGAAACATCTGCCCAGAATCGGTAAGCCAGTGACTCAGCTGGGGTTTAAACCCGGGTCTACAAGCCTCTGGCTCTGCACTCTCCCCACCACACATCTGGTGAAAGGCCCCGAGCTGACCAGCTCAGAGCCAACATCACGCTGGGGGTGGGTTCTTCAGCCAAGGCCCGGCTCCTGAACCTGAAAGCCGTGGGACCACGTCCTCTGCCTGGTCACCCTGACAGCGGCTTGGAGTCTAAAAGGACACACAGACAGTGTATAGACAGCAACAGGAACGGCACCGGGCCGACTGGCAGACAGCAAGGCCTGGAGTCGCGGAGGCAGAGCGGGGTGGCCCTAGAGGGGTCCCGCGTCAGCCCCGGGACGTGCAGGAGCCAGGCCCTCTCTATGCACAGTGGCTCGGGCCGGCAGTCAGAGCCGCAGACGGGAGGTCGGAGCATAGAACAGCTAGCCCCGGCTTGGGCACACGGCTGTGACAATGGCCCCATCGCGGTCCCCTCCTGAAAGATGAAAACGCTGAGCGGCAGAAGCAGAGTGAAAGCCCCTGGCGCAGCCGCCATGGGGACAGAGAGCCCCCAGCCCCACAGCCCCGTGAGGCTCAAACGCAACAAGAGCTTTCAAGTGCTCTGTCAGCTCTTGGAGGTGTGTTCTGATCCGGGATGTTAGCAGCAGAACGAACACCAAAGCCCTTAATGCTGCCTTAAGCATCAAAAACCTCGGGTCTTAAAGGGCCCTTCCGAAGCCCCACGCGCAGCTCCGCGATCCTTCCACAAAGCTCACGGTGTAGACAGAGCCCCTGCAGGGGCCACAGCCGCGGCCCTGCTCCCTCTCCCGCCCACTGCAGGCCAGCGGAAGGCCGGCCTGGGGGCTGGTGGAGCCCGGGACGGGGCGACAGGAGAGAACATGCCAGGTGCTCACTCCAGGAACAGGCCCCCCCGTGCAGTGTGCCGCCCCGCCCCGGGGGAGGTTCTGGGACGCCAGTTCCTACCTCGATCTCACCTTCCAGAGCCTCCCAAATAGCCAGCACGGCCGCTTCCCGAGAGGGAGGCCGTCCGGGCCACGTACGCCTCCCCGACTGGAGGGGCCACAGATTTGCCCAAGGGCGCGCGCTGAGTCAGGGGTGAAAGTAGGGCCGAAGGGCAACTTTGGGGGGAAGTTCTCAAAGCAGAAACAGCAGCCTTCTCATAGACGGCTTGGAGGCATGGTTTCACAGGCTCCTCAGAAACGGCTCTCTTCCCTCCATGTCCGCCCACCCACAGCACCGGACTGCGAGGTGACCAGCAGCCCGATGCCCCCTTCCTGTGCCATCGGCACGGCTCTGCATGGACGGGGCAGCTGGACGCATGGGAGGGACCCTCAGCGCACTGTGGGGCTGGCCACATCCACGGTGGTGGTCCCTGTCTTCCCTCACCCTCGTCCCCTCACACCCCGGACCCTGGGCAGAGGGCTCTGGTCTGCCGTCAGGAACAACGAACGGCTGGGGCCTGCTCCAACTCCCCGAGCTCCCAGTCTTTCTGGGTGCTGTCCACGGCCCGCCCAGCACTATCTTCACCTTAAAGCAGGGGAAGAACATTCCAGCCTTTAGGACACACCGTCCAGGCAGTTTCCTGGGCAGCAGGGTCCTGTCCTCCATCCCCCTCTCATCATGTGGGGCCTGGGGACCTTTATGGGCCCCCACCGGGAAGGTGCTTTGAGTGGCCCCACTTTCTCCCCACCCAGCTGCCAGCCGCTCTGGCCGGGTTTCTGATCCTTCTTGCTGGGGCCATTACTCAGAAGCCTCAGAACCAAGAAAGAGCTGGGCTGTCCTGGACCAGCAGGGAGATGCAGTTTCTTCCAGGTGGCACAGGACTGTCCCTAGAGATCAGGGTTTATCCTTCATGTGGACTTTCTCAAACACACGCGAGCTAGGATGGCGATCTGATGCTAGCCTGTGTGGATTCCATCCCCAGCCTGAACACCAGAAACGTTAGTCATTGGCACCCAGGGGGTCTATGAGCCACAGCATCTCTGAGGGGGCCCTGCGCTCTGTCCACGGGAGCCCGGCCAGAAGCCCTTGCAGTTCTAGGCTCATTCCAACGGGAGTCACTTCTGAAACACTTAGCCAAAACATTCCCATCGGATACCGACATAGTTCTTTAAGAAAAGACTATAATTAAGTGGATGTATTACCTCCTTTTTGGCTCTGGCCGTTTCACCAAACCAGAGTAAAACCTGTCTTGAGACACTCAGGGAAAGGGGCAAGGCGATGCCTGGTCTGCTGGGTCCTCTGTGACAGTTAGGCTAAAACGCAGCACAGGCTCAGAAAGTGCAAATGTCAGTCCATCGGGCTTTGAAATCTATAAAGTAGCCCCAAGACTACAGTGTATCTCTTCTTCAGAAAGTTCTGGAGTGGTCACTGGCTATTAAAAATCTTACTCTGCACTTGGAATAACAGGCTGATGATTTCCCACCTTTGGGACTGGTCTCAGCACGGCACTGTGTATACAGTGGTGCTTATAAAGGCTGCCCGGAGAGGCTGGCCTCCTTTTCTAAGAGCCCAGGCTGTGGCAGGGACAGGACTCTCCCCACCCTGCCCCCCCACCCCGAGCCCGTGTTCTAGGGAGGGAGCGGGGTCCGTGGAACACCCTGCAGGCCCCTCAGGCTGTTTCTACCAGACCTACAGTGGACCCTGTAAGGTGATCACGCAGCTGCCCATTTTGCAGATGAGGGACTAGAGGCCCAACTGCGCTGAGCTGCGGCTGGAACCCTGTTTTCCAGCACTAAGTTCTGAGTTCATCCCTCTCCTGTCCATTGGGAGTGACCAAGAGCGCGCCCTCAGGGGACAGCCAGAAAGGCCTGGGGGCAGGAGATGGGGTGGTCCTGCCCTCAGCCTTCGGGTCCAAAACTTCTAGACTCTGCAGTACCTGCTCCCTGGCTGACCCCAAAAGCTGTCCCACACCAGGCCAGGCCCTTCTGCCCCCAGTGAGGGGCTGGGGCAGACATTCTGGGTTGCTCTAAGGGAGGTTTGGCCCTGGAATTTAAGACTGCACTCTACCCAGACGGGTACAGGAGACATGGGCAAAGCACTTTAGGGTCTCCCTATTGATACAGTGAAGTCAAATAAAGAAGAAGGGAGACGTTTCCAGAGCCCCCGAGGTCGGCGGAGGTGGGGTACATCAACTGGCCTCATCCCTGGGCTAGTTTCTCACTCCCCTCTGGGTCACCCCGTCAGGGTCTACATGAGAGCCACACCCTTGCACCCCATGCGGCGAGATCAGGAGAGCCACGCTGGACCCAAGAGGCCTTGTTTGGTAAGACTTCAGCCTTTAGGAGCCTCCCCTCTTTAAAGCATGCCACAAGAGTGTGCCAGACTGCTGGCCAGGGGCTCTGCTAAGCCAGGAAGAAGTCCTAAACTTACAGAATACTCTGCTCTGGGTCTGTCTGCTGACATCCATTCCCAGCTTCCAGAACCTCAGGATTACTACAGGCTTAACAAACTGCTAATGGCCTTGGCCAGAAAAAAGAAAAAAAAAAAAACAGAAACAAAAACACACACTACTCAAAGCAATCATCAAACCCAGGCAATGAGAGTCCTGAACACCGATTTTCAGCCCCCAAGTTGGAAGACACACATTGCTTAATGGGAGTACCCCATGCCAAGTGTCACGCCCAGAACTTGAGCCTCCCCTTTTGCGCACTCCTCTACAGTAGATGCTGGTCTCTTGCCCATTTTACAGATGGAGCTGCTGAGCCTCCAAGAACCCAGAGGGGTGGGCGGGGGCCTTCCCACTAGATCCTCTTGTGTCCCCAGATCCCCCAGGATGTTGTGGAAGTCCAAGGTCACTGCTCATCCACCCCAAGAGCATCTCTGAAGTGCAGCTGAGGGACCTACAGGTTCCTGACCCAGGAGAGGCAACGCTCTGCTTCACACCCTGCAGCCCCTCCCACGAGTTCCTCAGCGGAGCCACCCGGCAGAGGTCAGCTCAAGACAGCCACATGGCAGGAAGGGGCCACTCTGGTGGCTTAAAAGGAACTGGTGAAAACACAAGCTTTGGGTGATTTGAGGAAAGAAAACAAACAAAGAAACAAACAAGAAAACCAGAACTGCAATTGGTGTGGGCTTGCTTCACTGTAGGATTAGGGGGCCAAGAGAAGACAAGGACCTCCCTAAAATCTTTCAGCACCACAGATGTTGCAGCCACCACCGAGGAGAAGGCAGTGGGCTGGGTGTGCTGGAAATACAACTCCAGACGGCGCGGAGGACTCTGGGTGTGGGCAGACACCTCTCCCTACCAGAGCGGGCACGTGTCTGTGAGCTTGGGAGCGGGAGCACTCCTCCTCCCCCAGAGAACCGGAAACCTGGGGAGGGGGCCCAGAGAATGCAAACATCTGCACCCTGAATGGGGGGGACGGACCCCGACGACAAGCAGACTTCCAGGCAGGGCAGAAAAGGGAAGGAACACCCTACAGCAAAAGCCTCCCGATGTCGCTAAATGAAACTCCCTTCTCCTTATTTAGACTTCCAGCTTCTTTTAGATAGTCAGATCAGCAAACTCTCTGCCACAGTACTACAGGAAACAGAGCCACATTCAAATACTCAGGAGAGTGGGAAGCAACCGTGAGAAGGTTCGAGAACAGGAAAGGCCTGTCAGACCCCTGCCTGATGGTCCCGTGGGAGCCTGTCCCTGTGGGGCCTGGAGCTGGGGCACAAGGAGTGACCAGTGTGCTGTAACTGCAGAGCTGGACAGGGCACCTGACGTCATGTCTCCCAGAGATTTCCGAGGGGTCCTTTGTGACAACAGAACCTCTCTGGGCAGAAGAAATCTTAGCTTGGAGCCTGGGACCTGAAACGGGCAGAGGCTCTGGGTGGAAGGGGGTAAGGGAGTCTTAGGGGCCCTGGCCAGCCTAGTCTCCTCTCACTGGGGTGGTATCGCTGAGAACCAGGGGTACAGACTCCTCCTGCCCCCACATCAAACAGGGGGACCGTGGCTTACTAGGGCCCCCTGAGGTCAAATGATTCACCCAAGGACAGACTAACGGTGAGTTAGTTATAGGCAGAGCTAGGACTGCCTCTCATTCGTGCCGCCTTTGGGTCGCAACAAACTAGGACCCTGAGCCAGTTCGAATTCACCTAACTGGGGTAGGAGGCTTTGGGATTCCCGGAGAACCCACACCACTGCTCAGGCACCAGACCCTCCACCTTCCAAATTCCTCAAAAGCCTCCCACGGAGGATCTGCCAACACCTGGCTGACCTGCTCCCTCAGCTTCCCGGAGGGCCCCTCAACCTGGCCTGCCGCCTACCGAGGGGGGCTGCTCCTGGCTGTGTGGGGGGCCAGCCCAGCCATGGGCAGAGGGGGCAGCTGCGGACTCGGCCGTGTCCTCTCCCCTCACCCGTGAGCTGAGTGACGTGAACGACGGACAGACTGTGGAAGGAGGAGAGTAGGCGGGTGCACACAGATGGCCAGGGAGCTGGACAGACAGACAGGGGGTTACCTGTGGGCCGGGCCCCATGGGCCCCATGCCTCGGGGAGGGTTCATTCTCTGCATTGATCCTCCCATGTTGGGGTGCCCTGTACGAGAGAGCAGGGGAGCTGTGAGGCAGCGGGGGGCAGACAGCACAGACTCCCCACGCCGCAGGCGGCCCCGCCCGGCCCTCTACCTTGTTGTCGGGTGGGATCCATGGAATTGGGCAGCAGTGGCTGGGTCCCAGGAACTCCTCCCGGAGGCTGAAAGAGACGTGAGAGCTGCGCTGAGTGGCTGGGGGACAGAGGGAGACACGCCCGCCTGCCCCGGCCGCCACCACCCTTCTGGGTCCACGCATGGCCTCCCTGACCTGCCGGCTGGGGCTGGGGGCAACATCCCCAGGAGCGGTAGACAGAGGGAGCTGGTGTCAGCAGGAGATGCTGCATGGGCGGGACAGGACCCGCCACACACCCTGCTGTCTCCACGGGGCTGTGCCCCGGCCGCACCGCCTGCCGTACACCCCTCCACGGCAGCCTGCCCCCGCACTCACCTCCCGGACCCCGGCCAGCGTGGTTTAACCCACACCCTGTCTTTCCTTCACCCCATGGAGACGTAACTCATCCTATTCCCTCCCCGAAAGTGTGGAGACCAGGAGACCCCCCCCAGCCAAAAATCCTATCACTACACAGGGGTCTTTTTACAGGGGCGCGGGGGAGGAGGTAGCCTTCGAGGTTTGGATGGGGAAACTGAGGCCCAGAGGCCCAATGGCCCCCCAGTCACCTAGTGGCAGAGCCAGGATGAGCACTCAGGGCCCCCAACTCCCTATCTTTGTCCTCCACATGAAATGCCCCCTTCTGGCCCCAGGGGTGAAGAGGAGGCCTTCCAGAGAGGGGGGAGCAGAAGGCTGAGTGAGAACCTGCTCCCCAAAGCCTGGTGCAAGGGGCAGACGCTGGTGTGATTACTATTAAGAAGGTGAGGACAAGGTTGCCACAGGTTTCCTGAGTGAATGCTTGGCACACTTGCCGTGAAAACCTACTAAAAGTGATTTACTTGGGACTGAAGTGATTTCAGTAGCAATCGGGAAGAAGAAAAAAAAAGGCAGCAGAGCTGGAAGGAAAAGCGTGCTTCTAGCAGGACTAAAAACAGGCCCCTGCCTTTGAGAGGGAAAGCGTCTATGAAAGGGACCACCTTTTCCCATCTGCAGACACCAGTGCTTCTCAGAGGCCGGGCCCCTGGGACAGGGACAGCCACCCCCTCCATCGCTAGCCCTCACCGCGGCTGGGGGGGATGGCCCAGCGGGGAGCTCCAAAGCAGCTGTGGAACGAGGTGGTGGTAAGCAAAGAGACTAGTTCTCACTGCTGTCCCGAGCTTCCGAATGGGCTGTGTGTGTGTGTGTCCAGTGCGTGGTGGTGCTTGTGGTAGGCCACCCAAACCTGGGAGGACCTGCTGTTTCCAGGGCATGGGGGTGCTCACAGTCTGTCTCTCTAGCCCCTGGTCTTGGCTCTTCTGACCTCTCGCTTTCTCCCAGCCCTGCTTCCTCTCCCCGCTTCCTCTCCCCAGGCTCCCCAGCTCCGAATCATTTGACTGGTTTCTGTCTGCCCACTTGAGGGTGTGGGATATTTCTAGACCCCGGTTACAGGACCCTGGAGGACAAAAGCAGGCCTGCCTCTGAGGCTGTCTGGTTTGGGAGATCCCAGGATGTCGAGGTGGACAGGGGACCATCCATGTCATAGAATGCCCCCACCTATAATCCTGATGGGGCACCGTGGGGGTAGGGCAATCACTCCCTCGCCAGGTAGCCCAGTGAGGACAGCGACAGTTCTCAAAGGAAGCTCCTCCTTGGGCTCCCCTCACCCTGCTGTGTCAGGACCCAGGAGCAGAGCAGGGCTGCCTGGAGGCTCAGAGGGAGTCTGGGCATCACTTCCCTCCAACCCTCACTGGGGTGACCCTGAACTGGGGACAGGACGATCTTGGCCCCCTCCAGAAGAGAAGGCAGACAGGCCGTGACCGAGATAACGGGTCTCACACAGAGAAGGCCGAAGCCTTCAAACCTAAGAAAGAAGCACAAGAACGGCTCGTATGTGGCACTGCAAGCACATGCTGTGTGCACTCGCAGAGCCTGCTAGGGAAAGTGATGCTCTGGGGCCGTCCCACGGGCTCCTGGAAGTAGGCCAGCGCCTCTCCTAGAGCACTGTGGGGTAGGCGCAGGAAGCGTCTGCCCAGGGAACGGCCAAATCCCAGCAGCGTCTGCACGGTCACTCGGCTGCCTGCCCCCGTCAGCCACTGGGTCGGCGGGGGGCTCCTCTGGGACGTGTACGGGAGGGCTGCCTGACAAACCCGGGTCCTAGTCTTCCTCTCAGCCCCGCTGAAGCCCACTGTTCACCACCCAACCCACCTACTCTCGCTTGAAAAACAGCAACGCTTTCTCTATATACAACCTGTCACCGGGGAGGTAGGTGGGAGGATGGCCTTGTAAGGCTCAGGGGACAGGTCAACAGTCCTTAGCTTCTTGCCCCCCCCCCCCCCCCCCAAGTGCCCTTCTCACTGCCCTAACACAGGAGGTTCCATGAATCCAAGCAAGGCCTGCTGCCTCTGCCCCTCCCCCTGCTACGGGGAGGGGCTCAGCTCACTGGGGTGGCAGAGGCTTCTGCTCAACCCGCAGCCCCAACGGAGGCACTCTCCGCGAACCCCCCAGGTGCAACACCCCTGAGAGGGGCACGTCCCTCCCTGGAGGGCAAACATTTCTTGAGTCCATAGGAAACCGGAAATCAGTATAGATTTCCAATGGTGGGGGGGGGGGCGGGCGGTTGGCGGGAAGGTTACAAATTTGTAACGAGAGATGCAGATGTCGGATTCATTGTCCATTTGCTGTCTTGAGCACTTGCTCATGTTTAATTGATAAATAGGAACATACATGTTTCCTCTCGTGTCCCTTAATTGCTGGAGGAAAGCCACAATGATGGTAAGGGTGCATCAGTTCTCGCCATGGGGCAGAGGTCCATTCGGGCCAAGGAGAGCCCCGGGGTGCGCTGTGGGGAAAGGCGCTGCTGCGGCCCACGCACGTGATGGCAGAAGAGGCCCCCGTGCTGACTCGGGCAGCGTGGTTACAACTCTGAAAGCTCACTGAATTGGGTGAGGGGCAGAGGAAACAGCACTGGGCCGGGAGCTGTAGACCAACTTGATCTGGCTTACTGCAGGACTCCGGGAAGTCCCTCCTTCACTCTGACCTTCTGTTTCCTTGTCTGTGACATACCCAAGGGTCCCTCCTTGTTCAAAAAGGTGGGTCTCTAATTCTTGTCTAAATCTCTCCTTCACGTCAGAGAAAGAGGAAACAAAAGACTTTTGGAGGGAAAAAAATAACTGGAAACCTGATAGGCAATTTAACACTAAAATTTCGAGGCCCCTGACTATGAGCATCTCTCCTAGGCCCTGCAGCTCTGCACTTGGAGGCCTTGCTTGCAGAGCCCCGAGAACAGAAACAGTAAGGCCCCTCTAGTTGGTAACTGAACTCCCAAGTTCCAAAGGCAGTAGGGGCTGGATGCCCTGGTGATGCGGTCACATGTTTTGAAAAGTTTTTGTAAGGGCACTCTAAGAATCATACATAAAAAATATTTTGGCATGAAAAGAAATCTCCCTAATGTTTCTTTTTAAGCTTCTTTTAAATCCGTCAATCCTCAAAAGATATTTTATCTTTACCTCTCCTGCATGGGCTGAACTACGGAGGGTGGCACGGGGGCCGATTTCTCCAGACCACCTAAGAATTGCCAACCCTAATGGGCCAGCATAAGGCACACAACCCCAGGCTGAGAAGCCCTCCCCGTCAGCAGACCACTTTTCTAATTACACGAACAAATCCTTTCTTGTTTTGAGTTGGGTCTGGGAAAACAGGCAGACATTGCTTAAAAACTCACAAATGTCCTGCTCCGCTGCATCCAGGCTCCTGATCTAAGCATTCCTACGGGCCATTTCTCCTCTTAATAGCAGGATTATATTTACCAGCCTTGGCAATTCTCAAAAGCTTCCAGGAAAAAATGCACGTTGTCAATTAACTTCATTAAGGAGGAAGACCCTTTTCCAAGAAGGGCCTGGAAGGGAGGGGGCAGGGGCATTACCACCTTCTCTAGAATAGCCGCAACCCTGCATTCCCAGCCTGGCTGTTTCTGCTGCTGCCCTCTGAGCTCGAACCGGCTGCCCAAAGCCCACCAGGAGAGGCAGATGCAATGCTGGCAAAGGGACTATACCGGGGACACAGAGCGGACAAAGGGCCCTCCCTGGGGACCTGCCTGTAAGCTACCTCCCACATTCAAACCTGTCCCTTCACCTCCAAATCCTTTCCCCAAATTCTCATTGGAGTCAAAGTCCAGCGGGGGGCAAGGGTGGCTGGGTGAGGGGAGAGAGAACATGAAAAGGTACAGTACCTGGTTTCCCATTCTGATCGGGGGCCTGGGGCCGCCTGCGTAGCGCGGTGACATAAAAGGCTGCAATTATAGGGAATTAGTTCAATGACAGCCTGAGCTACTGCACAGGGACAAACACGAATGCGCTCCACGCCACCAAGTCCAGTTTTGTTACAACTAGTCATCTTTTCAACTCTCTTTCTCCCGGTAGCCTCTTCCCTCTGGGCACAACTTCCTTTGGGCAGAGGGAACAACAGATGCGCCCGGCACGGGCGGCTCCTGACTCCGCGTGTGCCCACGGACATCTAGTCTGGATGGCAGGAGAGTGCGGCCGGGCCTGGGCACGGGGTGCGGAAGAGCAGTTACAGCGGTGCGGGGCAAAGGAAGAAGACTCTGCTCTCGGGAAGGGCAAATCAACCATCAGAAAGGGACTCCTACACAAAATGTTCAGGGTGTGCGGACAAAGCTGGACACACACACACACACACACGCACGCGCGCGCACACACAGAAACCACCGACAAAGGGGGTGGGGAAGGGGAGCGAGGATCTGGGGGGGGAGCACAATGAGAACGGTAAGGGGCTAAGACGAGGGGCAGGAAAGCTTATCTCAGCAGTGAGAGTGCGCACAGAAAAAGGCTAGGGATGCAGCTTCGCTTACGAACAAATGGTTAACTGAACTCAAAAACCAAACCAAAAGTGAGAGAGGAAAAAACAAAAACGCAAAGGCCGCTGACAAGGTCACAGAAATATCTTTGCTTTTCTTTTGGTTTCATATCCAAGCTGGGTGTGATGTCCAAGGAATGAAGACTATCTGGGGGGGTGGGGGGGTGTATTTTTGTTTTTGTTTTTTTTAAATATCATCTGTCCGTAAAGACTCAAAAGCAATGGCTAGAGCACATTTTGATTTTTGTTTTTCCTCTGCTGGCTCTGTCCTCCTCGTGCCCCGCGCCCCCCGGCGGGCGGGCGAGCCACAGTGCTTTTACCTGACTGTGGGGTCCCATCATGCTGCTGGGATTGTGAGGTGGAGGCTGTGCGTGCGGCGAGGGCTGTGACCCCGGAGGACCCTGTGAGGCCAGACAGTAGAGGCAGGTTATAGATCACAGCACATGGAGAAGCGCAGAAGCTTAAAAGAACAAAAATTAAACCAAAACGAAGGGCAGGCGGCGGGCGTGCGGGCGGCGGGCTCTGGTTGGCGGGGAGGTGCGCGCAGCTGCTTGGGTCGCAGGCTCAACGGTGGGCGCGGAGAGCGGGAGGGAGAGAAGCCGATGAGCACACTCACGGGGCGGTTTACAGGGACGGAAAGTAACACCCAGCTCCTCCGTGGAAGCACGCAGGAGCAGGGGCCCTGGCACCGTCTACGGCTGGAGCGGAGTTTGCCATGTTAAATACGCTGGTTGTGACAGGCAAGTGCCCCTGCTCTGCGAAGCGTGCAAGGGCCGCTTCTGGGCGTGGGAAGAGCCCGGCAAGGCCCTGGTTTGGGGGAGCTTCCGGTCTGGAGGGGGACAGAGGCAGGATGCGGGTCCCTGGGCCGGTCTACTGAGGGGAGGGAGGCCTAGTGGGTGCACGAGGATAGACAGGAGGAGTCAGGTTGGGCCAGAGATTGAACAAACAAGGGAACAAAAGGATGGACGGTTACCGAGCACCCACTCAGTGAACTCTGTTAATTCACCTTCACTTGAAAATGCCCTCATGAAGTGGGGTTTCTCATTCTTTTTACCAACGAGGAAAACTGGGTCTCAAGGGATGAGGGAACTTGGCCACAGCCACACAACCGGTAGATGGCAGAGCCAGGATGGGATGCCTGATGGAACCAACGCTCACCCGGACTCTTGCAGCCCAGAGCTCAAGCAGGCATGTGCAGAGGGGCAGGGGGACGGGGCTGGAGGCCCCTGACTGCTGGGTGGAAGGGCTGGGCTTTCCACTCCAGCCGGCGGTGAGCCACCCATGGTTCCGAGCTGACCCCAGAAGCCCTGGGCTATGCTGACCTTGACTCCCCTCAGAAGAGATGGGCAGGTGAATTCACTTAAACCACAGGGTTGGTCAAACTGTGGGTTGCAACCCATTAGTGGATGGTGAAATCAATTTAGTGGGTTGCAACCATTGTTTCCTAAAAACCCGGAATGGAATAAAAAAACAGAAACTATCCAACAGCTCTGTGTGTACGAAGGCAAATCTTTTTCACTAACGTCTCTTCATATTTATACATACGTGCATGTGTGTATACTGGTTCAGTGTCAAGTGTATTTCCTACTGCAGGTCAATCAAAAAACAGAAAAGGCCCATCTTGGAAGCTCCTTCCTGCCTACTTGGGACGTTCAGAGCTGGACTTGGGGGCTGGTGACAAGGAGCATGCCCTAATTCACTCTTCTCAACCCTCGATCATGCTATTACTCTTGGAAGTCGCTTCTGAGAAAAATCCAAAACCTGCACGGGGGATGGGGGAAATTACATTAAAGAGGAGAGGGAGAGAGAATCTTTGAGACAGAGGTAGGATTTTCTTTGTCAGCCTTCTCTCTCAGAGCCAGGCTGCCCAGCCTCCCCACCTGCTCAGAAAACACAGTCCGGAGCCGGGGCGGGGCGGAGGGGCTGGTAACAGGCCGTGGGCCTGGAGACATGGAGAAGAGGTGTGCAGGGAAAGACGGTGGGGGCCGTCCAGGAAGCCGGGGGCGCCACTGAGGACAGGCTGGAGTTTCTTGGCCAAGCGAGGGGCTGCTCACTTCCGGAAAGCTCTGTGGAGCAGATGTTCCCCTACCTGCCACGCTACTAATTTCAACAAGTGTGTGTCTTTCTAGCGGCTGCCAGCAACGGCATGGTTTGTTACCATGAGCAATTTTCTTAATTAACAGACATTAATTAGCCATTTAGCAATTTTGCAAGCATTTGTTTAGCGGCTTTCCTAAACATGAATACCACTGTGATAATGGCGCTGATTAGAGGGTCCCCTAATTAACAGTACAGGGAAGGAAAATTGAAATCACATAAATTAAAAAGGGAGGGGAAGCTAATGAAGGCGGGACATATTTGCACCTGCAAGTCTTTTGTACCATGAAACTTGGGTGCAATGTAAACAAAATAAGATAATTCAAAGCCAACCCCCAAAAAAAGAAAAATAAAAAGAACAGAAGAAGAGGGTTCGAGGGTGAGGTCCAGTTGCCAAGAGGGGGCAAAAGGCCTTCTGTTGGTTCTCAGCTCTTGGCAAGAAGGGAGCGCCTCCTCCCTCCAACCCTCGTGGCCCTCCCTGGTAAGATACGGTGCTTCCTCAGCGAGAGCGGCGTGTCTCCAGGCAGGTCCCCCACACCTGTGGCCCCACGAGCCAGGGGAGGCAAGTAGCGGCTGACTCGACAGCTGACGGTAGAAAATGTATGGAAAGCACCCCAGAGTGTCTGGCCCCCACAGGGGGTCCCAATCAGTGGCAATCCCTACTAAGGGCCAATGCTCGAGACCAGGTCCGGAGGGCCATTCCAAGCTGTCCCTTGGCCCTGGATTATGGCTGCTTAGGCCCCCCGACATTCAGAGGGCAGGCTGGTACGTGTGCCTCACCTCTCTACCTCCCTCAGAAGCTCCCTGCTGAACTCTAGTAACTGGTCCCCGAACGAGTGGCTGTAGTACAAGTTCACCTCGAAGCAGCCACCTCAACACAAAGGCCAAGGAGTATTAAGGGCCAGGAGCGGGTGGCGGGTGAGTGAGGCCCCAGGCCAGCCCAGCAACTCCTCTGGCCAGTAGGGAGAGGCGGGCAGTGGGCTGTTAAGTCTGGGGAGGGAGCAGCCTTCTCAGAAGTCTCCTCCCCAGGACTTGGAGCTGGGGTTTGGAACACCGAGGACAAGAGAACCCTGGCCCAGGCTAGCCAATTACCCAGAGAGAAAACCCCACCACGATCTCAAGATAGGCACAGATGAATCTCAACACTCGTGTACCCAGGGCACAGAGCTCCTCTCCCACCCCAGGGTAGGTGTTGACCAGGCTCCGCTCGTGTACTTCCCAGCATGGCCCCCAGCACTACTGGGAGCCCTATGAGCCAGAAAGCTTTTCTTCCATGAAGTCAGAAGCCTATCAATTCCTGATGGTCACCCACATCCAGCCAAAGCTCCAACCTCCGTGTCTCTGCTACGTCCACTCAGCCTGGAGCTGTCTGCCACTCGATCTGTGTCTGGACCCGGTCCCCGAGAGGGTGTGCAACAGCACAAGGAGGGGACCTGCACACTTGGCGCATTCTCAGGAGCCTCGGAAAATAGGGCACCGCATTGAAAATGTTTGCTTCTGTTAAGACGACGATGATGACAGACCTGTTTCCATCTCCACAAGGAGGGACAGAATTTGCTGCCCTGTGGTTTAGCGCACCAGTAAGAGGAGTTTCTCTCCTACCCTGCCTTCTCAACAAGAGACCAACAGGTAGGTGCAGAGAAAACAGACTTTATGGTCTTTTCAACTCGTTACCCGCCTGGTCAAAAGGCTACATAGGAGGCAGACCAAAAAGCATCTTGTTTGAGGATTTTGACCTTCGTTGGGATATTGGGCTTTTCTCTTCCCCAAACTGAACAGATGTGGCAGGCAGGGGGAGAGGATCGAGGCAGAAGGTGGGAGAAGGAGGGAATCATAACACTGATGGTACCGATGAGTTTTCCCACACAGAACGGCTCCCCCATGGGGCCTGCCTGGCTTCTACTTGCTGAAAGCTTTATAAGAACCCAAATTAGGTGTGTCTGGAAGCCTGTTTGGCCAAAAAGAGGCCAAGTCCAGCTCTACTTAGACCTTGGAGGCTTTCCGTCTCAGGAACTGCCTAATCCCCCCTCCCAGCAGGCTGCAGAGACATCTGCAGAGTCCTGGGCTAGACTGGAGTTGGGGGTCCCACTGGAAGCTTGGGGAGAGCTATACCTGCCCACAGACACTTGTTTGTTGGGTGGCCCTGATAGATCATCACTTCTTCCAGTATCCTTCATTTACAGGGGAGAAAAGAGATGCCCAGGACAGAGGCGTGACCTGTCCGAGACCATAGAGAATTCGTTGGTGGCTGAGCCACATCTCCTAACCCCAGCGCAGGGGTCTCTTCATGATAATCACGTTCCTGTCCATTGTAGGTAAAGAAACAAGGTCTGGGTTCAAATCCGGACTCAGCCACTGACTGCACTTCCCTCGTCAGAGAAATGTGATAATGGGATAATAATGAAGCCACACGTCACCTGCATTTAGCTCATGTAACCCTGGACTCCTGGCTGGAAAGGCTATCAGTCGCTCCATTTTACACCTCAAAAGGGTGAAGCCACTTGCAAAGCTATTAAGCGGTGGAACCAGCCTCCAAATCCGATTCTAGAGCTCCAGCTGGCCCACTACTCTAACAGCCCGCAAGTGACGCCTCCGTGTCACACCCGGAGCACGAGGAGCAGAAAGGAACAAATCCTAGAGGCTGAAGGATGTGGGGGTGCAACCAGTTGCTCACCCACATACATATTCTGGATGCTGACCTCGGGGGTCTAGCCAGCCCCATATCCTGGGGGTGGGTCACGGAGGGGCATCAGACTCGTCTGGCCCTGGCCTGGAACTCCCAGGCTAGCTGGGGAGAAGGATGAGGATGTGACAAATGAATTCGTGTCCGTTTAAAATGTCATGGGGTCCAAGAGAAGGTGACAGGTAAACTGAGGCCCAGGATGGCTGGAGAATGTAGGCCAACAGGGAGCTGGGATGAGAACTGAGGTCCCTTGACTGGTCAGAAGTCTTTCCACTGCAGTGCACTGCCCCCCATGGGGTGACAGCAGGGAGGCCTACACCCGGGAGAGACCCCAATCAGGAAACCCTGTGACCGAATCTGGGAAAAGAAAGCAGCAAACGTGCCCACTTCCTGCCTGGGCCTTCATTCTGCCCCAGACCCTGTTAATGGACTTGCCACTCTGTCTCTGGCAGTCCCAAGATCTCTGACCGGAGATACACAATTCCTGCACTTCCTTATTTTTTCCTGCAATCCCACCATTGGGTAGCGTCTAGCAGCCTCTGAGAGCCACCTAAGCAGGGCCTGGGGAGGCTCGGCAATGGTGTGATCGAAGCAAACACTGGACACCGAGAGTTCAGTGAG